ACTACTCTGAACTACCTCATTGCTAAGGGGCATCTCCAGTCCCAGGTTGCCCTTCCAAGACTTCTCTGATCTGCTGAGAGGGTTGCTTCTCTAGACTGAACATTAACTTGAAAATCTTTTTCAGATTGCATTGAAACCTATGCAAATTTATCATAAATATAGATTGGAGCTTCCCAATTGCAAACACCTTTATCCCAAATTAGATCTGACTTAGGTCATTTCATACGTGCTGTCCTTACCTCAAACCGACCACAATTTTAAAGGGAGGGCCTAATTGGCAATTTTTATTCAGAAAAAAAAGAAAAACTCACTTTGATATCAGTAAAAACATTATCATATTTTTGTCTACAACACTTTCCAAGTAAGTGATTCATTATTTAACCTCTAATGAGATAAAAGGACTTTGGTTCTCAAATTCAAACTTATCATGCAGATGGAAGAATATCAGGTTTCATTAATGATATTCTGCCATCTGCATGATAAATTTGAATTTTGCTCCCACAACATTGACAAATCAATCGCCTTTGTTCACCACATGCTTTCTAATCTTTCAATCACAGCGTAGGTATAAACATAGATATTAAACACACAACATTTGTATTTCTGTTTCCCTTCTCACTCTGTGAGGTAATTATTTTTTTATATATTTCTGCCTTTGCCTCCAAAGCATAATTCTCTTGCAGGCAGGTTTTATATTCATCTTTGTATTCCATCAGTAAATAATACAAATACTGGCACATAAGAGCATTTAATAAGCTTTTATGGTTTTATTTGCTAACGTCTGCCCCTTTTTCACTGTAAATAATTCTAACATTTGAAATATTAGATGATGATTCAGTATTTCATACTCGCTCTGCATACATCCTGTAGACAGCAATAAGCAATAGATGTTACTTTGCAGAATCAACTTTTGATTCATTTTCTACTGCATTAGTTGTTCAGTTTTTAAAATTGGTTTCCTTTATGGTGAAAGTGTAAAACTTTAGATGAGATAGATTTTCTAACAACCCAAAATATTCCAGGGGAAATTGTTCTTCCTATAGAGTAGGGAAAAAAAATTATATCTCCAAAATATTTCATGTCTTCTAATTTTCATAATTCCCACAAAGCTATTAATAACCCAAGAATGAAGTTCCAACTTTACACTTTATACTGCTAGAATAAATATTCAGATCTGGCAAAGCTAACTAAATGATAAACAATCTTTAAAAACAGAGAAATAGTTGTGAAAGATGCAGTCAAGAGCATTTCCGATTTAAGTTACAAAAGAGAAATGTAAGCTCATATTATTTAAAATATAGATATTCTAAATACTATACCATTTTATATTATAGAAATAACAAAAAGATAAAATACAATCTGTCGAGTACGTAAAGATTTTTATAAAATTATTCAAACATCCACATTTTTAGAAAATCAATCAGATACATCAGACATCTGACTAGGTACATGGAGGCCGAATGAGGTGACAGATGTTACTAATATCTCCCAGCAAGTATTGCCACATTTACAAAAACTTCAACATGTCATAAAACAAACTGCTCTTTTTAAAAAGACATTGACTTAATAAAAGTAGCATATCCTTTGGTTTCAATTAAATTCCCTTTGGGTTTCTATTATTTTCCAATGAAATGTTCGTTGTTAAAAATGATATTAGGCAATGCTTGCATTTACCTTCTTGCCCTCAGAGTTGCTGCTAATACCTGGTCAGGTAAGTTTCAATCCACACCCTGATAGGAATGGAAATACATGAACTTTGCCCCTCCTACAGTGGAACTTCTCCAAGTGCCATTTTGGAATCCAGGGTAAAATTGTCACTGATTGATTGGGGGGTGGAGAGAAGACAAATGTATGCTATCTATATTTTTAAACAACTTCACACGTTCTATGCTTTCCACTAAATTAAATATTCAAAAGAATACTTTTTAAAGTGGGGATATAGCCGTTATGGAAAAATAAGCTGCTTATCTATACTATATGTATATGTATACAGAGAATATAAGCCATTCACGCAGCTAGTGTGTAAATGACACAAGTAAAGGCCAGTTTTATAAGGCAAGATATTGACCAATGGAAGTTCATAGCTGAGCATCAAGAAGGTCTCTGGATTTTCAGTAGTGAACATAGAAAACAAATATGCTATTAATTCTCTCCATTATTTCACTTGAAAAAAATGTGTGTGGGTTTTTCCTTTAAATTCTTCCACAAAATTCTAAAAACCATCATTTTTCAGTTGAATTTCATCAATGGTTAGGACTTACGGGAGGCTGGAAAATTTTAACACATCATCGGTTAATACTTCATGCCAATTGATCAATACTTATTTCACACAGCTGCTGTCCAGTGTCGCCTTTCAAAAAGGATACTATTTACATTTACAGCGGGGCATGATTTTTGGGGTCTGGTTTCCTGGATTTCGGGTTGTCACATTTAGCGTTGTTGGCTGCTGATATTCGCACCACGCTGGGATTCCAGGTGCCTGAACAGATTCAAAGCTTGTTTGAATAGCTTTAATCTGGGATTGAATCTGTTTATCCTTTCAAATAATCCAACAAAGATCTGACTACAGATGACTGTTACCCTACAAGCCTAAAAATTTGGTGTGGTGTGATTGGTCAATCAGTCATGATGAAATCTGCCACTAAATGTAGCTAAATATTAAGGTAACATAATGAATCACTAAGGCGGGTGTGAGAATTTGTGGATCACCCACTATGTGCCAAATTCATATCCGATTTCACATACATAATCTCATTTGAGTGAAGAAAATCAGTCTCTCTATTATCAGCGACTTAAAGCGTCAGAGAATTACCCTAGAGTTTGAAGGAGTTTTAGAGGTCACTCACCTGACAGTGCTACTATTCAAGGCAGGCTAGAAGGGCTTTCTTTGTCAACAGGCTGTAAGAACATGATTTCAGGGTGGGGGGATGGGTTAGCCTGGTGATGGGTATTAAGGAGGGCACGTTCTGCGGTGGAGCACTGGGTGTTATGCACAAACAATGAATCATGGAACACTACATCAAGAACTAATGATGTAATGTATGGTGATTAACATAACAATAAAAAATTTTAAAAAAAAAGTCCATGTTCCTACCAACAAGCTAACCCTGTTGCATTGCACTGATTGCAAGCAGGACTTGTACATTGTGCATACATTTCTCAATAAATGCTAACAGAATCGTAAAAAAAAAAAAAAGAACATGATTTCATCAAGTGTAAAGTTAGATGGCTCCTCCTAGGTATGTTACAACTCATCATGAGTTATGAACCAATTTTTTAACTCTTTAATATCTCTTTAGTCTTTTTCTTCATGGAGTTAAAAATTCAGGAATGCCAGAACGATTCACCAAAGTCTTTGCCAGCTTGTGATGTACAACAATATGATTAACATTCTCTCTGGTGTGATAATAGCAGTCTTTTTGAAATACCATAAAGAGACTCTTTTCCATCTAATTTTACATCACATTGCTGAGAAACAAAATGTTTATGGGGAAAATATCAGATAGAGGCCTTCAGTCTAATGAAAAATGTATCCTTTATCCAAAGCAGACAGTTGGCCTCACATTCATCATTTTATCCTCCAAACTTAAAAACCTGGTATAAAATCAAAAATACATACATATACCATGAAAATGACAAAAAGCAACAATAATAAACACTAAAACACACTAAGCACATTTTAAAACTTGCAATCACCCTGAAGATATCAATCACCCTTTCCATCAAAGCCCTCCATTCCCCTAGATCCCAAACTGAAGCCTCCAGACTTGAAACAACACCAACTGCCTGCCCCAGAGAGACAGAGACACAGAGACCAAAGACAGCCAAAGCTACAAGATGGCAAAGAACACAACAGAGAAGGAGTGGCACATCTGCAATCAGGGGCTCGGGATCTTGCTCTGAATCCTACTAGCCTGACATCTGGAGCAAATACCCTCTTGCACTTCAATTTTCTCACCTACAAGAAAATAGGAATAAAAGTATGGCTTTCCTTGCTCTAATACGTTATACGAATGTTAGTGTTACTAGCATAATTATATAGAATTAGTCTAGCATAAATGTTTTTTCACTTCTGAGCCAAATCTACATGACATCTCTCTATTTCTTCTGCAATTGTAAATCAGGGCTTCAACCTTCTAATCGAGGTCCAGAGACTATAGCCTTCAGGTCAAATCCAGCCCACTGCCTGTTTCTGTAAATTAATTTTTATCAACACACAGCCATGCCCATTCATTTACTTCTGTCTATGGCTGCTTTCCAGCTACAGCGGCAGAGCTGAGCAGTTGTGAAGAGACCATATGGCCTGCAAAATAAAAAATATTTACTATCCGGTCCTGTACTTAAAAGTTTGCCAATCCTTGCATCATCATTTTTAACACCCATGAAATTTTTATATCCTTAGATATACAACTTCTCCTTACATAAAACAAATGTTGTAATGCAGATAAGAAATACAGCTTCTTAAATTAAAAATGTTCATTTGGGTTTGACCTTGATCTCAGGCAAAACTCTAGACCCCTTGAGTATCACAGTAAAATAATAGCCCAGACATTCATTTGGTAAACAACTATTTATTGAGTGCCTACTATGTGTCAGGCATATCCAGTGAACAAGAGCATGACTGCTCCTGGACTCACGATGGCTAGCGCAGCAGGAACTAGCAACCTAGACTGTCTTACCTGCATCTAGATGTAATAAACATTTACAGAGGACCCGCTATGTCACAGACCCTTCTGCACCATTACCTCATTCAGTTCTTCCAATAAACCAGGGAGGAAGATATTGTTTTCCCAACATACAAATGAGAGTGTTGGGGAGCAACACTAAGTTGCTCACAGTCATGATGCTAGAAAGTAGCAGGATGATAGGATGATAACGTAGCACCTCCCTTGCACTCTACGCAAAGAATAAAGATCTTCAAACATCTCGCTTCAACACTGGGACAACTATCCCCAAAGGCTCCTATACCACCAACTGCTTGCCCACCTCCCAGTACATACCTGGAAGCCAGTGAGGACTGTCCCCAGCTAAGGTCCGTGCTCTGATGAAGTCAGTTCAATTATCACACAGAGGAGGGAGCAGCCAAGTCCTACAGCCTATGAAAACTGGTAAGGATAGTTGTTGAGCAAGTAATACTATGACTTTCTAATTATGACCATGAATCACAATGATGAACCTATAAGACAGAGGGGGAAAAGGACATACATTTATGGCATTAGCTCAATGAATTTTAAATTAATTATCTCTCAGTCTGTTATCACTCCTTTAGAATAGATCATTCCACGGGCACAGCCTCTCTTTAGAAGCTACCCACAGCCTGCTATTTTCCGGGAAGCCATGGGTTACAGAGGAAGCCTTTAGAAAGGGCTGCTAGGAAGGCCTGGCCTTCTATCTCTGTTCCTTGCTGTCCCCAAACAACCTACAGAGAACTTTCAGCACTGTGAAACTCCCTTAAGTTCCTGGTTTGTAAATGGAATACACAAAACCCAAGAGGAATGGTTTTCCTAGGGTGTCCCAACCCAGCCCCAGCAAATGGATTCAGTGGTGAAGAACTCTATGGTTTGAGCTAAGTAGGACGTGAAGGAAAGTGCAGCTGAGAGAGAATAATCAGATATTGCAAACTCTGTTCTCTGTGGCTCCATTAGCTACCCCATTGTGATGCAACCCCGTAACTATCGAGGACAGTTCACTGAGCATCCTCGCCGATCACTACTTTTTCTTCTCACTTCAGACAACACCTAACCAACGGACAAATTCTCTGCCCTCCTCCCTTGTCTCCCCCATTCCTTGCCTTTATCTCCGCCTTCCTTACCTCCTCATTCCCTTTCCCCTCGTGCCATCTGACCCATTTCCCCATTGGTCTTGCTCTTTCTCTCTGAGTAAGTCTATTTCAGAGGAATTAATTCACCTGCAGAACTCACCAAATATTACCTATCGTCATAGAGAAACACTGGGTCCTTTTTAAAACACGGCTTATATTTTGTTGAGGAAAATAGCACATCCTAGGAGGATTTTTTTTTTTTTTAGCTATTTCGAGGCCAATTAGTTCGTTTTACAGCTTACAGCAAAGCTATAGCATTGAATTTCCATAAAAATGCCCTTCCTCTTTATGTAATTCGAGGACAGTATACTTGATGTTCCATGAAATCCCATCCCTGAGCCGTGACTGAGTGAGAGTCATAATTTGAGAAGCAAATACTCTCTGTAATTATATCAAAAATGAAGACCTTATCCCATTAGAAAAGAAAACCCTGCAGTTCTATGGAATGTTAAAGTTGTGAACTCCCAACCTATGCACCAGAGACTCAGAGAATCTAAAGGAACTCAAAGTAGCATATAACTTGCAAATATGAAATTAGGTTTCTTATATAAGTCAGATTTAACCCACAGAATAATACTGTAAGTAAGAATACAACTGTAAAAGCAATAAAAGTTTTGAATTAGAAAGATGGTTAGAAATTTGGGATAGTAGGTGTGCCTGGGTGGCTCAGTCAGTTTGGCATCCAACTCTTGATTTTAGCTCAGGTCATGATCTCAGGGGCCTGGGATCAAGCCCTGTCCTGGGCTCCACACGCAGCAGGGAGTCTGCTGTAGATTCTCTCCCTCTTCCTCTTCCCCTTCCCCCACTCCCTCGCTCTCAAATAAGATCTTAAAAAAAAAAGAAAGAATGAGTTTTAAATAATACAACATTATTTGAGAAAATTAAAGCTATTTAGCCATGTAAATAAAAAATAAAGATAATTACAAGCCCATCAAATCACAATTTTCTTTTTTTCTATACACCCTGTTTTTACACAGTTGAGCTCACACTACATTGTAGTTTGATGTTTTCCTTTTGTTTCATTTAATACTTCGTCCTAATTATTTCTCCATATTTTAAAATTCTGTTCATAAGAATTACTTTGAATGACTATGTGAATGTGCCATAAATTACTCATCCATTCTTTTATTAATTCAACACTTAGGTCATTTCCAATTTATATAAATACTGCTACTGAAAGTATTTGGTTTTAGCCTGTTATCTGAATCTCAGATGGTCTTTTTAGCATAGATATCTAAGTATTAAATTAATGGATAAAATTTATGAACATTTGTGTGCCTGACTACACCATGTCAAATGTACTCCAGAGAAATCCCACCACTGAAAGAGCTGCCATTCCACTGTTTTTTTACTAACCAGTTTCTCCTCTCCTAAAACCTGGTAACTAAGCCTTCTCCCTCCTAAGAAAGGTCCCTGAGAGAACAGTGAAAAAGGTCAGCGTTAGTTACCATTCATGCTACACAAATCACTACTTTGCACAACTAGACGAGTGACTGTTTAGACCATCTATGATCCTTTCAAGTAAGGTTTTGAGCGGCTTGCAACCAGTCTCTTCCGTGGGAGTGGGAACAGAATTTGACCACCTAATTTCAGAGTATTCCTAAGGCAACACTGAAGACAGGCTGGAACCTAGCTTTCCTGTATTTTCCCCTGGGGCTCTTCCACCTCGTAGCAATTCTGTGCGTCCCGTGGTGGCTAGCAATGACGTGCATAGGATATGCCATTTCAAAGCTTAGAAAACGAGCCTCAAAAAGATAATCCACGGGGCTCCATTTGGGATGCCTGGGTGGCTCAGTCGTTAAGTGTCTGCCTTCGGCTCAGGTCATGATCCCAGGGTCCTGGGATCGAGCCCAGCATCGGGCTCCCTGCTCAGCGGGAAGCCTGCTTCTCCCTCTCCCACTCCCCCTGCTTGTGTTCCTGCTCTCGCTGTGTCTCTCTCTGTGTCAAATAAATAAATAAAATCTTTCAAAAAAAAAGTTAATCTATCTGGTTATATTAGTGCACAAAATTAGACTGAAAAAAAAGCAGTGTACATGGGGGTTATCCATGAAATTACCTAGCTGGTTCTCCCTTCTGCCGTGAGAGTTTCTGGGAGAACGACCACCCAACCACCATCTGTCTCCCAGGGGGCTTCAGGAATATAATTCACTTAGAAGAGCCGGGCGCTGGACATCAATGTGAGTACCCAAACAGAATGACCGGATTTCATGGCGTTTTATTTGAGAGCGGAGGGAGGGGGGTGGGAGGAGAGGGAGAAGGTGGTGAGGACAGACATTAGTTCCTGACGCAGCCAGACAAGAAGACAAAGACTTTGGTGACCTCCCACATTCCCTTCCTGACGCCCTCTGTTCTCCCATGTCCTAGAGCCTTCTCCCTATTTCTGGAGATGATGGCGGTAAAAACCCCGAGACATGCAACACCTCCTGGTGCTTACTAAGTTTTGTTGAAGAAGTGTGAACGTTCTGTGCATCCCTTTTTCCCCCCACCCTTTCTGAAGAGATTTTTCATGAGCCTTTTTAGGTGTACTGAAAAACTGCGCAGGAAGTAAGAACACATGCTTTCTGGTTTCACACCTTCTTACTGACTCTGACTGAGCCTTTGGAATGGCCTTGGCTGTGGCTGCTGTGGACAATTACGGGAGCGCCTGAGGAAAGCCATGGTCACAAGACGGAAACAATGTGAAGGGAGAAGAAATGACTCTGGTAAATGTGGAACCTTGACTTTCTTTTTCCTACAGAGAGAATGGCTGGTAGTCCCAGCCTTCCCAGGGGAGTGTCCATAGTCTAAATATTGGCCAGAAATAAGAGAAAATTTTTCAAGAATTTATTACTATAAAATTCAATTCAGTTATCTTGGACTTTTGAGGAAAGAATAAATAACTGTCTTAAGTCAGGGGATTTGCCTCATTCTATTTGTCTCCAGTGAACTTTCTCCTTTCAGATACCAGTGAGTGTAAGGGCACATGGCTATGTATAAAACAGAAAATATATGTATCGGTTCAGTCTAATAATTATGCTCAAACTTAAGGGAAGCATCAGGATATTTGCAGAAATTCTTCTGTCAAACTTCCTCATTGCATAACATTGACCTAGTCAGCAAAACCTAGACTCAGTTTCTTCACCAAAACCTACCAAGCCTTCTGGTTTCTTCCACATCAGGTGACAAAAGAAATGTCCAAAGTAGACACACAATACATGCCAACTCCAAATTTTGGTGCCACAAAGAAAGGGGACTAACAGTAGAAGTTAGGGTGGCAAAGAAGAAAGCCACAAATCAAAGTTGGTGGCAGAGAATCGGGGAACAATGCATCTCTCTGTTTCATCCATGATATAACGAGAGCCGTGACCTGTCCTTTGCCGAGCCCAAGATGCATTTGTCCTCTGCTCAATAATTCAAGGGAGGGATGCCTGGGTGGCTCAGTCGTTTGGGTGTCTGCCTTTGGCTTGGGTCATGATCCCAAGGTCCTGGGATCGAGCCCCATGTCTGGCCCCTGCTCAATGGGGAGTCTGCTTCTCTCTCTGCCCCTAACCCTGCTCATGCTCACTCTCTCTCTCTAATTAACAAATAAATTCTTCAGAAGAATGAGGTCAGACCTTACCTGACACCATACACAAAAATTAAGTCAAAATTGATCAGACCTAAGTATAAGAGCTAAAACCCAAAAGCTCTTACAAGAAAACATAGAAGTAGGTCTTTATGACCTTAGGATAGGCCATAGTTCCTTACATGTGACACCAAAAAAAAAAAAAAAAAAAATAGTACCAAAAGAAAAATAGCTATACTGGAATTCACCAAAATTAAAAACTTTTGTGCTACAAAAGACACCATCAAGAAATGGAGAAGACAGGGGCACCTGGGCGGCTCAGTCATTGGGCGTCTGCCTTCAGCTCAGGACATGATCCCAGGGTCCTGGGATCGAGCTCCGCATTGGGCTCCCTGCTCAGCGGGAAGCCTGCTTCTCCCTCTCCCCCTCTTCCACTCCCCCTGCTTGTGTTCCCTCTCTCGCTGTGTCTCTCTCTGTCAAAAAAATAAATAAAATCTTAAAAAAAAAAGAAAGAAATGAAGAAGACAACCCACAAAATGGGAGAAGATGTTTGCAAATCATGTATCTGGTAAGGGATTTGTATAAAGAACACTTACAACTCAACAATAATGAAATAAATAACCCAATTTTTATTTTTTTTTTAATTTTTTTATTGTTATGTTAATCACCATATATTACATCATTAGTTTTTGATGCAGTGTTC